TTTTAAAAGTTATTGTCGTTTGACTTATTTTTTCAAAAGTGGTATCTGTCTATCCGTTCAGATAAAATGGAGTTTTTCTGTATCTGTTTATTCTATTATGTATACATTATAAGCATGGATTTTGTTTCGTGTTATCCTTAGTCATGACATAAACATAACAAAACTCAATTACGTACGTAGCTAAGAGTGAGGATTACTATTTACCCGACAGGCCACTTACTTGACATCACAAGGGTGACAAATTGCTAAAAATATATACCAAATGCTAACCCTAACCCTATGTGATGTCGGATAAGTGACCTGTTGGTTAAATAGCTTTCGGGAATTGATCCTAAGAGTGACTTGTAAATCATGATTATGTATTGCATTACCGTTATCATTATCGCGATTTATTACTGTAATTATCTGAAATCAAGATTTTGAATAAATTATTGAAATTCGGATTATCCGGTCGTCCAGATAAACTTGTTCCATCTCTACACCATGGCCGAACAGTACAATCGACGGCAATCACTTCGCTGACGGTCATTTACCTACAAGTCATTTAACCGACACCACTTAGGGTGACAATTTAGCATATTATTAGTTTTAGCATATATAATTTGTAAATTGTCATCCTATGCAATGTCGGTTAGATGACTGCGGTAAAGAAATAACACGAACCCAAACCAAGCTTGTGTATACGATAATACTGTAATAAAGTCATAAGTTACACGACTCCAATCAAAATTTTAAATGGTGGGTAATATTAAATTGAGATAATATTACTTTGTGTTTCGGTCTCGAGCTTCGAAAAGCCTGATACTTTTTGGATGGGACCTATTCAGAAATTCATGTGCGTACATACGTGATCATAACAAAACTGAATATATGCCCAAAATTATTGAGTCCAGAGAACGTCTCTTCAAGATATTTTTGCTCCCCTGATCCTCTAGGAAATCTAGTTCCTAACTGTGTAGGTTAGATAATGTATAAAAAATGAATGTGAAGTGTTTTTTTTTTCAGTTTTATTAAATCACGCCGGTGGACATATTTTTTTAATATTTTTGCTAGTAAAATTTAGGGTTAGGAATCTGAACTATAGTAAAAATATAGATAAATTTAAGTGAGGGTGAGGTTTTTTGGGGGCGCTGAGCATTTTTGCTTAGCATCCCTGACGTGTGTTAGCTAGTACATTTTTGAGATATAACAATTGTGTAATGTTGAACACCACTGATGCGATTTAGTAAAACCGTTTTTTTTTTTGTCAAAAATTTTATACTTAAATTTTACCTCGACATAAATCATGCTACCAAATAGGCTTATAAGGCCACCAGCAATCCAAAGCATTAAAGCTGTTCCTGGCGATTGTACTAGTCTCCATATGCTAGTGGGAGTCACAAAAATCCCTTATATAAATGAAAAGTAATAATGAGCTTCATCGCAAAAGTTAGTGCAATAAAATTTAAAATACGGACCAGCCCCAATTATATTATTTATATTAAACCCTAATAATCCTGAAAATATAGAAATGATTCCCTTCCTAATCAGCGGCGGAATGTCTTCTCCTAGAGCAATGTCTTCTCCTAGACCTTGGTTGTTATTATTGCCTTCTTCTATCACTCGGTCTTCATTAATGTCTTCGTCTAGTGTTCTGTTGTTATTATTCATGGCTGAAAAGTAAGGAAGACTAAGAAAATATTCATACGAATGAATTTACTCAAAACTTAAAAAATCACAACCTTAATTTAGTCAAATTCCGAATGATTATCCGTAAACTTTAACATTAACACAATCTTTATTGGGAAATTTACATAGAAGAATGGAAACATTTATGTACGGTAGTTCATCAAAGCCTTTTTTGTTACACAAATTTTATACAAAGATTGGAAATTTGTGAAAAATTGTTCCTTTGATACCTATCGTTGCAACAGCATGGTCAATGTTAATGTAGTAAATTCTTCATTAATGTTCATCCTCTAGTTCAATCTCAGACATGTAATCGTCAAGATTACGCGCCCACGTGCTACAACCCGCTCTGATCAAATATCAGGAAGAAGGTCGGACACACTTGCGAGTAATACAAACTCTTAAAAAGGAAATAGCCAATTAGAGTGTGCAAGTTTTGACTATTCCCGAACACGTGCGAAAGAAGAAAAAAGCATGAATACTCAAAAACTAGTGTTTAAATCGACCTTGACTAATTAAAAATGTCGGGAATGAAAATTTTACATATAATGAGTGTTAATATTTTTTTCTATAGCCTCTAACGTTAAGGCCCTAACCCTAAATTTTCATTTCACACACTTAGTTTTATTTACAAAATCGCGAAAATATCATAGCCAATGCATCATTATATTTAAGATAAGTACCTGTTGTTTTTATGCAAGATGCCGTAAAAGCGCATATACAAGATCCCCAAAACAATAGACTCACTACGGGGTGCGAACCGCGGAATCAATGCAATTAGTTAGACACCCATTATAAATACAAAGCGTGCATGTACGCTAATATCAATCCATTTGGATCACTCTTATATTTCATGTTGATAGTGATATTAATGAAGGATCATAGTAAAGTTGATATATATGAGGGAATTTTGATATATAAAAATTTATAAAAATTTGTCTTGTGGTTTAGGTTGATATTAACGTATGTTGATATTAACGAGGGTCAAGTGTACTTTAAATTTTTTTTTTTCACCACATAACATCTCAGCGTGTACTATACCGGGGTCTACTAAAGGATTTTAAATTAGTGGTATTAAATAGACCCGAGTTTTGTATGTACACTTTTACAATAGCATGATAATTAAGTACATCATGCTACTCGAAACAAAATTGTAAAGTTAACACGCATACGCGTTGATACGTTTATATGATACCTTAATTTAGATGATCATACTGTATGCTAAGAGAGTAAATTGCTTATTATTAAAAAAAAAAAAAAAAAAAGAAACGCTACTTTTTATTTATCGCACAATTTTTAAATTCTTCTATGACCTAAAATTTCTTATATGTCTGTCAAAGTAACTAGATGTTCACAAAGATTTTAATCGAAGTAATCTAATAGCGATAACCTCCAACATTTTCTATTTATTACATAATTCTTTTGGATAATGGGGTAGCATTCTATCATATGTGCATATTACATGATTGACTGTTGATGTTATCACCTCGGTGGGACGAGGTCTGGTCATAAAAAGAAATTATGTAATAAAGGCACACCCCTAATGGTTTTGATGAAATAGAAATACCGTTCTTAATTTATGTAAATATTATTGACCAGTTTGTCATGCCAAATCTTTTATACATATTTAGTATAAAGAGAATTCATTATTTAGTGAACTTGTTCTAAATAACAAAAATCTTCAGAACAACGATTATGTAATCTGCCTCTTCTTAGGTACCTTATTGCATGTCTTAATTCGATCTAATAAAAAGAGTAACGGCACCCGATATATATATGTAGCATGCTTGAAATAGCCAAATGTTTTCCTCTGCTTCCAACCCTGGTTGCTAGAAATCCAAGCCTGCTATATGTTTATTCGGATGTTCATGGCGTTGTTCGAGACAAGAACGTTATTTTTAATGAATCCGACTTTTGGTGTAATTTAACTTTTTAACGTATCACCATTGCTATTGGGTTGATGGATCCGAGAATATTGAAACACTTCATAATCTTCTATTAGAAATTCGCCATTTATTTTGATTTCTTTTTCGTAATTTGCTTTAAAACACCCCCAAACCTTTTCATCACTGTCAGACATATATAAATCTAAATAGCCGAAAGACGGCCTAAAGTCTTCCATACAGCAAATTGCAATGTCTTTATTTTTAACTCTACTAACTTTGGAACTGGATTGTTCATTTATTTTTAAAGAAAAAATAAAACTAGCATCAGTTTCTTTATATTTATTCCTTCTAATTCTTTCCCATTTTAAGGGGTTGTATCCTCCAAGAATCTCTCCTGTTTTTTCGACTTTCAAGACTATCACTGTGTTATCTTTGTCCTTACATTTGTTGTAAAAAGTGCTCTTTTTAAATCCATCTTTGCTACCCCTAAAAATTAATTTTAGCTCATAATCATCATGAGATGAAGGATCAATCCAAGAAAGAATTTCTTTTACATGCTCAGCATTGATAATCGTTGAAAATTTTTCATCTGATGAAAATTCAATAGTAGCACCATCTTTATGGGTTTGTGTATCTTTAGTAAAATTGTCTAAAGAAAACAATTTTTTCAAATCTGATTGGGAACCATCTTTATGAGTTTGAACATCTTTAGTAATGTTGTCTGATGAAGAAAACATTTTTTTCAAAAACGACAGAGTCCTTTGACGTTTTAACCTTAAGCTATTAGACGGTTGAATATCTTCAAGAACCGTCTCTTGATGATTACAATTTTCATGAGAAAAAGAATATCGAATATTTTTTAATTTATTAAGGACTTCTTTAATTTCTGGACGCATCTTAGGTTCATGATCCCAACAACGTTGGTAAAGTTTAACGTAATCGGCGGGTGTATTTTCTATTGGGTCTTCTCTGTTTCCTTTGACAACATGAAGAGGAATTGCTATCTGGTGCTCAAAGGAACTGAAAGGAGGTTTACCACTAGATATTTCCCAAAGAATTACTCCAAAACTATAAATATCAGATCGCTTGTCACATTTATATCGCTGGTTTGCAAAGCATTGAGGTTCTAAATACCCGTACATTCCACCAGCTTTGACCATTGTTACTTGATCCATATGTTTAGATACTCCAAAGTCAGCAATTAACATTCGTCGATTGTGAACTAATATGTTCTTTGAATGCTATTAAGAAAGCAAAAATAAATGAAATTATTCATGATAAAAAAAAATATATATGCATATAAATAAAATTCTTACAAGGTCTCGATGAAAAATTCCATTATCATGTAAAAACAAGAGCCCTTCGGCTATTTCTTGTGCAAATTGTAGTTTGTCTGACCAATCTAGTTCTAAAAAGTTCCTTCTTAAGTATTCACGTAAATTCCCTTCATTAGCGAGTTGTAAAATTAAGTTGTACTGATTATTGGTGGGATCTGTTAAACGTTAAAATGAAAATTATAATTATCGGTCTATAAAGACTAGAATGTCCGGACTAATGCAACCAACGAAAAATCTCCGAAATCGCATAAGTCTGGACACTCTAATAAATTATTTCCAGAAATAGCTACTTTAATGCCGAAGAATTACCTTTAGTGACCCCATAAAATTGAACAATATTCGGATGTCTATGTCTGTCAACAATAATAAGCATCTGAAGCTACACATCAAGAAAATGTTAAGATATTAAATTTAGTAAGTACAGTATAAGGACATGCAAAATCAATTCATAGTTTTCATAACCCGGCCGAGTCAAATTTTGGCAACATAAAAAAACTTTATATGTTTTAATAATCGGGTGGATTAAAAAATTTTTATAAAAATTTTATAGGATTTTTATATATGAAGTTTAACAAAAAAAAAAAAGCCGGCCGGCCGGATCTATTTAAGTTTCATGTTATGAAAGCCAAGGAATTAAATTTGTACGTTAATATGTAAAATATTACCTCGTTAATAAATGCATTAATAAATGTTTCATTAACTACAATTTCATTGGCATTGATTCCGTCTATGTCATTAGTATTGATATTTAGGCTTTTAAGAACAATTGTCATATTGTTCCAGATCGCTTTTCGAACAGTCCCAAACGGGCCTCTACTGATTTCCTCGCAATTACTAAATAAATCATAATTAAATTTTATAACTTCGTTCCTTTCATTAATAATTTTTTCAATTAGTTCGTTTAAATTTCGATTAGTCATAATTTCGATTAGTCATAATTTGTTAAATTCAAAAAAAATACGTACGCTTCACATGTATTTATCTATGTATTTGTGGATATTTGTTGTACGTGCGTACGTACTTAGGTACACACGTACACATGTAATACATAAACAAATGTACAAAAGATTGATAAATGAATTGCTACGTAGCTTATTTCGGCAACATTATTTCTTTAACATGTATAGGAAACTTATCGATAACAAAATAACAGAAGGAAAAATTATTGAATACAAATATGATGAATTTAA